AAACCCCAAACCCTAAACCTCAAATCTTAAACCTGAAACCTGAAATCCTAAACCCTAAACCGTGGATCGGCACTCCGGGATGGGGGCCTTCTGCTGGAAGTCCGAGGCTCGTATCGTGTGGTGGCCTTGGCACAGAGGGACTGTTTTTGGGGGCTCGGGGGCTTCGGGTTCAGGGTTTAGGGTTTGGGGTTTAGGGTTCAGGGTTGAGGGTTGAGGGTTTAGGGTTCAGGGTTCAGGGTTTAGGGTTCAGGGTTCAGGGAAACGCATACCGTCGCGAAGTACTCCCAGAACCTGGCCTCAACCTTGAGCGATAAACCAAAAGAGCCCTCAAAATTCCAGCAACATAGATTCATGCCTACATCCTAAACTCGCAAAAATATCTGACCGCCAATCCCAAAACCCCGCACAGATAGTTTCAACTATTCTCCGCGTGTCAGTGCCCTTTTTCGCGAGGATTCGGCCTCAGGATTATAGGGGTTTATGTGGGGCCTGTGGACTATTCATATACTGTTTATGTGTTTGTGTTCGGCTTGTTGGGCTTACCCAGACCCTCCAATATCCCTCAATTAAGGAATATACCTTACCTCTTATTAGGGCTCCTACATTGTAATTTAACGCATAAAATCCTTCATGAATGGAATTGGAAGATCTGGCTTTATGGAGCTTTTATGTAGGGACCTTAATACTTAGAATAGGGTTTTGGGGCCCATTATGCTATAACTTTAATAAGGAAGGCCCCAAAACAGTATAGGTAATGATTTCGGCCCCTATATTACATGGCCTATAAGGCTTTCTTGGCTTTTTTCAGCGGTGCGGGTCGGAGCTGGGGGCAGAACTGGACCCAGGCATGTCAAGCTTCAACGCATAGGCGAAGAAGCAGGCACTGATCTGGGCATCTTATCTTTTATGGGTATAACGTCTAAGTCTATTGTAGTGTATTATTGTGGTAAATTCCATGGCATTGTTTTGCAGACCGTTCGGGTTTGGGGCTTTAGGCTCAGAGGTTAGAATTTAGGGCTCAGGTTTGTTGTCTGAGATTTGGTTTTCAGGGTGTCCGGGTATCCAACTCGGGTGTTGGTCTTTGATCCATACTCGTGACTTGTCGCTTAGTCTAGGGCTTCCAACTTTCTTATGGCTTGGTCTTGGGTCTTGATGCCGTTGGTTTGGGGCATTAGGTTTAAGAGCGAGTTGCTACGCGGGTTCTGAGTACGGTCGTGTGTATCAAATGCTGTCTTGGCCGACATCCCACGCTTCAACCTTACACGTCGGCTTCATGTCGTATGCCTAGCCGCACAGTTCATTGCAACGGACTGCATCCCAGTCGACTGCCACGTGAGAAAGCATGTGCAAGACTACCTACTCTGCATAGCATCAGCATGGACAACGATCATAAGATGCTCAATAGTAGTCAAGCTTTCATCAGTAAATGGTGCTATCGTTCACTCCATCCATCTGCAAATTCCGTGCAAACACTAGTCCGAGGACTACAACATGCGGCCATAAGCCGAAGCATAAACCTTCTCTGCTTGGAACATCTTGCGGGAAGGAGCGTACCTAGCCACCTGTACTTGCGACCTCAATCTCCTAATCGATACCATGCGCTCTTACTTGCTTCATACTTCGCAGGTGTCCTACGCATCCTGCTAGCACTAGCCACCGTGCTTTTATTCAAGCACGTATCGCACGGCGTCTCCTGGAGGACTCGTGGACCAACACGGAATGAACAACTCACGGAATGTGACAGGAGCGACTACTCATGTGATGGAAGCAAAGAGTTGATGCAATCATGCACAAGGAGAGAACCTTGCGACACCACGAAATACAGCAGTCAGTTCTGCATGACCGATAGCTACAATTCAGGTCATGCATGTAGAGGTACTTTCATGGTTCCTGTGCAGCCGGCTTGAGAACAAATACAAACTACGATGTAAAGACGAAGCTCATCGCTTGAGTACATGAATGGATATAACTGGTTTATTATGGCCGCGCAGCCAACTGAGGCAAGTAACTTCACAGTCAGTTGCTGGAAGGGCCATCAAGCTGCACACATCTCCAAAGTTGAACCTTGTGATAGATCAACAAGCAATAATTCCCTCCCACTTCAGAAGGAATTTGGGTGTCTTCGACAGCGTCCGTGATTCTGAAATACGGAATGCCACTACCCGAATTGAAGCACCGATACAATCTTTCTTCACAGGACTCAACGAATCATACTTCTGGCCGAGGCCGTCGCCACCTCTGCGCCATGTGGTGCCTGACGCTCAGCATGGAGAGGCACCTTGCGCTCCACGAGTTCCACACTGCTATATATATATATATATACATGTATATATTCGTGAGAAGCTTCGTGTTTCGGGCTCAGGGTTGTAATCATCAAGATCTCCGGAAATAGGCTTGCAAGACTTCCTCTGATGACGAAAGCAGCTCACCATCTTCAAAGGCTGAGGTGACACTCAGTCCAGGAGCTTAAGCTAGAGAAGGGTGTGTGGGTGGGACCCTGCAACCCTGAGCTGAAGCCCTAAGCCGTAAGCCCTAACACCCTAACCCCTACAACTCAAAACTCTAAAACCGTAGAGAGCCAGACCACTCCAGCAACAAACTGAGAAAGACGTGAAGCTCGAAATGATAGAAGGAAGTGTATCCGACGGATATGCACGTTGACATCTATCATTGGGTTTCGGGCTTTAACAGTATGAACTCTCTCCCTAAGCCTTTATGAACTCTAACTATTATCATAGCTCCCGGTTGCAACAACATAGGTGCAAGACGGTTGAAGTTCTTGGGGATTTTCGGCACGGGGCTGAAGAGCAGAGGCTCCGACTTCAGATTCTCCTCTGGTACTTCCCATTTCAGGGTTACCTTATAACATCAAGAAAGGGAACTATAATGAAGGCTATAGTAGACTATAGGCAGAGGGTGTAGGGATTGGGCCAAGTCGAGACTCATGTGTCCTAGGGGATTCGAAGACGCAAAGGGTCTTGTGTCCTGAGCCCTGAATGAGGTAGTCCTGATCTGTTTAGGGTTTAGGGTTTAGGTTGCAGTTTCTACATCCCCACCCCCTAAGAACGGGACGGGCGGCTCATATGCTACATTTTGTCCATGCCGTACATGCCCAATCCCCACTGATATTTGGCGATCCTCTCTTGCCAAAAGCGCCAGCAGCCACCACAAGCTCATAATTCAACCTCACTGGCCAGTTTGGATAGCAAGCATAGGCTAACCCCACACCTCATGCCCTATACTCCCCCCTACGCTTTCACCCCATTTCTCAAACCGCCTAACACTTCAACCCTTAAATCAACTCAACACCAACCCCCAAAGCAAAAAACAAATCCAAACAACCGACCATACCCCACACCTCAACCCTCCAAAACACCAAAACCCAAAGCACCTAAACAATACTTAACCGAATCCATTCTATAACCCATATCCTAATACGAGGTGTGGGGTAAGACCCTAATAGAAAAACCCAAAAGATTATAACCGTTATCCTATATAGTTTTACTAATTATTATTAGTAAAGTGCTATTCGTGTATATCCGGTGTAGCCGTTCCCAGTGGCAGGGTTATGGTCTTTTGGGGGATTTTTCTATTAGGGTCTTACCCCACACCTCATTTTAGGATATTGGTTATTTTATGGATTAGGTTAAGTATTGTTTAGGTGCTTTGGGTTTTGGTGTTTTGGAGGGTTGAGGTGTGGGGTATGGCCGGTTGTTTGGATTTGTTTTTTGCTTTGGGGGTTGGTGTTGAGTTGGGGGGTGCTTTGTGTTTTCAGGGATTTAAGGGTTGAAGTGTTAGGCGGTTTGAGAAATGGGGTGAAAGCGTAGGGGGGAGTATAGGGCATGAGGTGTGGGGTTAGCCTATGCTTCCTTGGATTAGGGGTTCAGGCTTACGGGCATAGTGTTTGCAGATGCTTGGCTGTTGAGCATTGGTGGCAAGGGACGAGAAAGACTGCTAGGCTCTGAGTGGCATGGAATGCAATTTAGGCATACCAGCTAGGTTCCTGAAACTTGGCAGACGGTCAGGTGTGCGCGTTTGGTGTCACAATACAACATTGCGTGAGACAGACATCGCCCCGGAACCCCCAAGGCGAAATGTGTTGCACGGGAAAAGTCGAGGAGCGACACAACCAATCAGTATCGGGGATTACGACTCCCAAGGGTCCACGCGCTCATGTAGTGCATGCCTTGACCCTGCAGTAGTCCCAGTGCAGTCCATATATAAACATAGGAGCTTTAGGGCACAAGTATATGCTAGATGGGTACATGAACCCTTAGGGTTAATGTTTGTGGAAGAGAGAGCCTTCCTCGACATGTCACCCAACTTATCACTGCACTCTCTGTCTCTCTCTCTCTCTGCCTCTCTCTCTATATATACATATATATATATATATATATAAACTATAGACGTAAATTCCACGACCCTGTATTGCTCTACCCAGATCTTCCGAAAACCCTGAATTACGGAATCTTACATACCTTAAACTATAGTCGGATCCCAAAAGGATTTAAGGCATATTCCTCGAGTGGGGGGTTTTCGAAGATCTGGGTTTAGGACTCCAAGACTTCTGAAAACATTACCATAGGCTTCGGGGGTTTAGGGCTTAGAGGTTTAGGGTTTAGGGTTTAGGGTTTAGGGGCTCCCTAAACCAGCGGATCCCGAACCTTGAAACCGCAGCAACCCTGAAGGCCATGGCCTTGGCAAGGCATGGCCCGAGCGGGAGCTTCGCTGGACGCACTGAACACATGGCTCCAAGCATGTACCTAGATCCCAGCTTGTAGTAGCGACCGTCTTATTAGGGATCCTAGAACAAGAAACTTTAAGTTATAAGTTATAAAGCAACCGCATGGAGGAAGGAGCTAGGTTGCGAATGCGGTCACGGCTACCGGCTACCAAGGTCTGGAGTAGCAAGTCAAGACTCTTAGGAAGGGGGGCCTTGTGTCCCACAATACAAGGCTTTGAGCGTGTAAAATTCAAAACCTAACCATCAGTGCACTAAACCCATCAAGCCTTCGAGTCTGCACTTTCCTGATAGGCTTCACACAACCTGAAGTGTAACGCCTTGTTGATGCTCTTTGCGCTCTTTAGGGAGTTGTTGGTGTACCCACGATGTGCATGTCGCTTGAATTGTTCGTCCTTGGCGATCTTGCTCGAGCTGCTGGACCAAGACGCTTGGTTGCAGCGGCAGAGCACTGGAATCCTGGAGAGAAACCAATATCCTACAAACGAACAGCCCGAGAACACGACGACGGGTCCCCAAGCAGAAGTATCGCAAACACCCTTGACGCAACAAAAATTGGTGACCGAGTCGAGGACAAAGGGCTCAGCAGTGTCAAGAGGTTGTGGGGTTCGAGGTTTGGGGTTCCCGGCCCAGAACCGTATTGCCCAAATGGTTTAGTTCTTTTATAACAACCGTTCTTTCTTGAAGGTTGTAGATATTGAAAAAAGGTTGGACAGGAAAAACTAGGAAACAGGCTGTGTGCATGCTGCATTTGAGGGCTTTCGGCTTCAGGGTACCGAGCACAGACAGCAGTGAAGGCTCTTACGTCGGCCTTGCTACACTTGATTTAGAGCCTATATAAGTCGCTAAACCCTAAACCCTAAACCCTAAATGGCCCGAAATCATTCAACAGGCACCTCCGGGATCCCACGGGTTTAAGGCCTCGGTCTTGATGCAGCGAGGGGCAGTGTGTAGGGTTGAGGGAAACCTGCGAGAACAGCTGCTGTCGCTAGCCATCGTGACGGTTGGCACTTTTCTGACCTACTGTTTTGTAAGGTGCACATCCCAAAACCCTAAAAGATATGTGCAGCCGAATGGCCACCATTGCGGTAGGAACACAAATAATCATAAGCGACTAGCATTCTTGTTATTAGCATTATTACGCTTAGTGATTATTATTATAGTTCACATTGTGATTATTGTCAGTTCATTTCATTTCGATTATAACAATATTCATAACCATGATTACCATTCTTATTGTCAGTATCTACTAGTGCTACCAACATCGCCAAAAAGCTCTGACCTCCGGCGGAATGTGCCCTTTTTTCTCATCTGTTCTTCGTCTTGCCAGTGCCAGAGGCCACGACCTCCATCTCCGATCCTTGGGCTTCCAGGATGGGATTTGGGGGTTTTTAAGTGATAAGGGCTTTTAGGTTTAGGGTGTAGGGTTCAGGGATTTAGGGTTTTAAGCTGGTTGGTTTAGGGTTTAGGGGTTTGGGGTTTTAAGGAGCTTAAAGGTTTTTAGGTGTAGGGGAGCTGCAAGGACTGGAGGAATCAAAGACTTCCACCATTCAAGACATGATGGGAGCCCCACGCCACTTCTCCAGCAGCAGGTCTTCACCTTCAGAAAGACGGCAGGGTGAGCGACTCAATCGTGAAGAGTCGGCTAGCTAACAGGGGGTTTCAGAAAATAGTGGACCCTAATATAGTACCCTAAATAATAGGATCCTTATTATAAGGACCCCAAAATAAGGTACCCCAAATTTTCGGAAAGTCCCAAGATGCGCGGCTTTAAACAGTTGGTTACATCGGGCCCTTTTGTCAGCGCAGGCTTCAGGGTTTAGGGTTTCCGCACGATGCGTTGAATCAAACCGACCCTGCAACGACATCCGAGGTCATGCCCACCCAAGGCTATGTCTGCTACGTCTCCTCATGTCAATGCCAAGATATAACTACAATCGACTCAGGGCTCGTTCACACTTGTTGGCCCATCAAGTGCATTCAAGTGCTTTGTGGCTTCAGATGTGTGTGGCTGCCACCGTTTAACGAAGACGGCTCAGTTGCTGAAGGCCTCGAAGGCAGGAAGAGAAAGTTGGAGGCTTTATCGGGATATCTGCGGAGTAAAAGAAGCAAACCCAGCCATAATACCAAGCATTGCGACTACGTGCGGGCTCAGGACCAATGCTTTAGGGTCAGCGATCAGGGACCTGAAGCGTTGCAGAATTCTGGAGCTGAGCCCACGTTTGCAAAGACGAGCAACCCATGGACAGGTGCGTAGCGCGCTTTCCGCCAACATCCGCCAACGATAGAATGATGCCCGCCATAAACATCCGTCTAACAACCGCAAAAAGTCACCGACACACCCATCCGAATATCGGAATGCAAAAAACCCTGAACCCTACAACATTAGCATCCAATGAGCGTAGTCTTTACACCGTAAATCCTATCACCTCTAAACCAAACACTGCAATCCGTAACTCAAAACCATGCAAATCCTGAACTCTAGAGCTCATGCGGCACCTGTGAAGGAGAGGTCTTTGGCAACTGTACTTTGCGAGGCCCCGCCTGCTTGTTTCTGCGCGAGGTCCATTCTGGAGTATACACTATGGGGGTGGGGTTTGGAGTTTGGGGGTTTTGGGGGCTTGGGAGGTTTTAAATTCTGGTTTGGGGTTGAGGGTTGTGGACTTCCAACGTTCCTGAACCCTCCGATCTACTGCTCTGTTTTTCCCAAGCCTGCCGACGCGCCCTGAACCCTGAACCCTTGAACCCCGAAGTAGCCTTAAACTGGACCCTATAAAGCCTAAATGAGAACTCAAGGATCTCAGGCGGCTGCTCTTCTCACGCGTTTTCCATCAGCGAACTTCAGAGCTCACAGGTAACTACGGGGGACCTCGAGAGGCAGTGCCATCGGCCCACATTAACTTGCGGTTGTGCATGTAGCTTTCCTGTACAAGCCCGGAATGCACACGAGAATTTCTCACATCCGGGGGTTGACATGCACAAACGTATCCGACCTCTTCGAGGTAACGGACTTCACTGCTTCGTCCTCCACTAAAATGAAAGACCCTTCTCTAAGAACCTTACGGAACAAGTTCATCGGCGCTCCCTTCTTTGTCAAGACATCAACTATCATCTGACTCGTTGCCATCCAACGAAGCTTGATGCCATATTGTTGTATGTCTCGTTTAAGCAACAGCATCTCGATTGCCATCCTCTTGTCCTTCAGGGAAACCGTCGAGCTTCCAGCATGGTCATACACCGGCTTGCAGCCTATAACGGCTGTTAATGGAATCGCGTTGCTCCACTTGCCATCGTCATCAAGGGTGTAGTCGTGGTACACGGCCTCACACCACATCGAACGTATCCACCTTGCTTCCGCTAAGCCTCTTGACAAGGCCAGTAGCTCAGCACCCAGGGTAGAATGAGTCTGACGATCCTGCTTGAAATCTTCCATCTCAATATAGAGAACGTTCCCCACTGACCATTTGCCAGGCGCTCGTCGCATCCAGCCACCATATATCCTGCCTGACTGCAGAAACCAGTGGCATTAGCCCAAGCCGCATCCGTAAGCACACAGAACTGCATGTTCGCTACCGGGATGGGTTTCACCCATACGTACGACCTGCTATAATCTCGAGCAAGGCTGATCAGCTTGTTCACTTCTATCAGATCACACACACATGCTGCGTTCACCTTCTGTTGCAACAAGGAACACCATGCAGCAAGATCCGGCCTGCTACTCGTAACAAGCCAGTTGATGCCTCCTAAGGCAGCCCTCATCTCTCCCTTCTCCTGCTCAGTCAACTTCTGATCTTTCTCTCGTCTCCGTTCCTGCTTGATCACAACACTTTGCAGGCTACTGGCATATTGTTCTTGGGAAATCTTGATGCTGCCATCCTTCTGTTGCTCCAACCACTTGCCCAGAAACTCTCCACTGCCGGTTTTCCAGTGCTTGAAGGGAAACATTTCTCGGAGCTTTGCTTGCACATGCTGTTGAAAGTACTGGTTACCTCCCATACACAGATCATCGACATGAAGAGCTATCACACCACTAATTTTGTTGTTATAGTAATAGTAGTACACACAAGGATCAAACTTAGAAGCACGCATGCCAAGACTTGTCAGCTTCTTATCAAGACAGTTCCACCAAGCCTTCGGCGCGTCAGCTAAGCCATAGACTGTCTTGACTGCTTCGACCAAGCACGACTCATCGTATCCGTCGATGCCTCCAGGAGGTAGATCGATGAAAAGCCTTCCTCGATCTGGACTCAGATCATCACCTCTCAAGAACGCGCCTTCAACGTCTGCGATCGTGAGCTTCCAGCCAAACGTTGTCATCAACTGCATTGCAATCGAGAACCCCTCTGCTGACAGGGTCGGAGCACTTGTATCTAGCTCCAGCAAATCCGGATCTAAGTAGCCACGGATGCACCACCGTGCCTTTATGTCACTTGTATTGGGACTGCTGCCCTCTTCAGCTTCGGTCAACACAAATCTCGACTTCAACACACGACGTCGTGGCACCGAACTCCTCAAGCGCTCAGCTTCCTTGCCTTTGTGAACTACAGTTGCTCCACTCTGTAGCAACTTGTTCCACTCCTTTAGCTTGGCCTTCCGAAGCCCTTCCTTTCGTCCTTCATCAATCTCCTTCTCGTTCAACTCCTTCCTTCCTTTCTTCGCAACACCAACCTCGAAGCAATCACCATGCTCACGCTTCCATTGCCACCCAGGTCGCAACGTAAAGACTGTCCTTCCTGTCCACTTGACACCATTACGTCTCACGCCTCCTTTTCCAGCACGCCACTCGTAGTCCACAACAGTCCTGTTTCCGCTCCTGTCGAATCTTACACTCTGACACACCTCCTCAACATCTTGTTCTCGAACAGGTAGATCATCTTTTGACAATGTAAGGTCGCTATCTCGTTCTCCTTCATGCGTGCGAATCAACAAGGAACGTTCATGATCAACAACCCAACGGTCACATCCACTTGACAATGTCACCTCAAGCTCCTCTTCGCCCTCGTCATCAGGAACAGGCGTTGTTTCAGCAAGCGAAGGACCATGTGTGGAACTTGTAGCCGCAACACCTCTATCAAGCAACCCGACATTCCCCCGAAGAGCCTGATTGAGCTGACTTGGTGGCTGAGTTACCCTCAGCCTCTTTGTTGGAGACTCAGTCTCCGGCTCGTTGTCTCGGGGATCCTCATGCCTGACCTCAGGTGCACCTAAGTTCAGCACTGGAGCTGCCGGTCCTTCGTCACCCTGTGGCATCTCCTCATCCTGACCTTCCAGCAAGCCATGCGCAATGTTCTCAACTTCACGACTTTCACGCACAATGTCATCCATACGCTCGGACCTCTCATGAACAACAGGTGGTTTCTCAAGCACGCTCAAGTCATAGAAGTTCCCTGCCCCTCGAGCACTCACTTCATTTCTCACGAACACCATATCAGCTGGCAACAGTCGGATAGTTGCCTCTTGCTCTGGAGACAGACGCCGAACTTGTTCAGGACAACAACGATAGACCTTGGTACCTTTTGCAACCCAGACCTTCGACTGACCACTTTTGCCAATTACCAGCGCAGGTCCATGCCAATGACACTTTGCCTCGAACCGACTTTTCCTCCAAAAGAAGACCGTCTGTCCTGGCTCGAAGGGTCCACGATCTGGCCTTGTCCTGTGTTCCAGTGCCTTCCGGATTTTGTTCTCTGCATCCGCATCAACAAATGCCTTTCTTGCCGCCTTTCTCAGCTCCATCCTTCGCTCGAAGACACTCTCACCTTCGACCAGAGACGAATTAATAACAGTGTCATGCTCGCTGGAAATCATGCCTGGTATTCTCATGTCCCGGCCGAACACATGCTGGTAAGGAGAAAACCCTTCAACACGCGACATGCTGTTCACCGCATTGTTCACCTGATCCACAAGCTCCTGCACTTCGGGTTTGCTTCTAGGTTGCGTTTCCACGTGTGCCTTAGTAAACGCCGTTTTCCACACTGCTCCTTTTCGTTCAACCTGCCCATGCATTCTGCCATGGTGCGTAAGCAGCTGACACGTCCCCATAAGTCCCATCCAAGGACAACCCATGTTCAAACTCCCCTTCACACTCCTTTCCACCGTCACAGAAGAGCCTAATAGGCGCCCCGGCCCACCGTTTCCATGTTTTCCGGTACGCATTCCTCACATGTTTGGCCTGCATTCCCTTCCACAGAGGGGTGCACAGCTGAAACCCAGTAGCCTCATCCACGATATTCAGAAAGTGTATTTTTGAGTACCGCACATCCAACTCAAACGTGTCCACGCAAACCTGCTGGTTGAACTCCGTAGCCTTCCGCATTTTCGCCACCCTGTGTGCCTTTGGTTTGCTCATTTCGCTACAAGTTTCACATTCAAGACCTTTTGCAAGTTTAATCACTCTCTCACTGGCATGTGCTGACTTCAAAAGCATGACAAAGCGAGCTGTCGAAGGATGACCTAAGTTCTCATGACACTTGCGCAGCACACTCAACACCTTCCTTTCGCTCTCCGCTCCATCAGCTCTCAAATCATCGATCATGTACACACAGTGCGCGGCCATCACCTCATGTCTGGCTCTCTTCTTTTCCATCACAGCAACAGCAACATCCTTGCCGAACCATCGTTCATCATCACGCCGTTGCACATGTGGCCATCCCATCGTGAGTCTATCCTGCACCTGCTTACTGTTGGTGTACACACAAGCTTCATCCACACAGCTGTCACCAAGACGAACCACCTTTGACCCGACATCAGACAGCACCCGAGCCCATGCTTTCACTCCTTTCTTCATGCTCTCATTCTCCATGAACACACAGAACTGCCTACCATCACACAACTGCTCAGCACAGCACGCAGCGACAAGTCTAGTGAAGTCACAGCGTTGCTTCGTGTTGTACGTTCTGCACAATCCAACTCCTCCTCTAGACTTAGTCATATGCTCAGGCGTACGCACCACAAGAAGCACTGGCTTACAGCTGCGGACCTTTTCCAAGGCGCTTTGCAGAGTCTCCGCTCGACCCATCACCTTGGCACTCAGTTCACCTTCGGAGAAAATGTGATCTGAGGTGAGGCCGGCTGCCGTGGCTATTGACAACTCCACTCCAGGTTCTAAATAAAGCACGTCGACCCCGCTGGGACCTTCGTACTCTCTTTCAACTGGAATATTACAACTCTGAACGCCACGCCTACACAGCTGCTTCTCACCCTTGCTCATACACTGCGGATCACACCCTTCATCGTCGCTCAGTCCTGGTTCTCCTCGTCGTCCAGGCGTTCCAACTCGTGCGTCATCATCTCGATCTGGCGCAAAAGCTTCTGCCTTCTGCGCCGGAGTTGGAGCTGCCATCTCTTCCGCATGCGTTGCCAGGATCCACTCCTCGGGCTCTGGCTGAGGCTGGCTGCTGCTCGCCGGCAACTGTGGTCGCGCTTTGGCCTTGGCTTTTGTCTGCGCTCCCCGAGCCTTGGCTGCAGCCGTTGGTGGCACCGGCAATGTCTCGCGAGACACCCTCTCGGACTTCCTTTGGTCTCTCAACGCCACGTACAAGCGAAACTGAGCCATTGTGGGATGCGTCGTCTTCCCGGTGAACTTCCGCACCCATGCCACATATGCCTTGTCCGTCTGGTAGGCGATCTCGAAGCTGACTGCTCGCCCCGTCTTCATGTACTTGCCGATGTTGAAGATTGTCCTTCCGCTTAGCCCGTGCACGAGCCCGTCTGGCGCGTCTTCTTCCTTGTCCGACATCTGGTCCAGCGTTGCTGCCGGGAGCTCGTGCTGTCCGATTTCCAGCTGTGGCCCCACTTCCTGCAGCAAACTGTCGATCAGAGGTGTCCTCGTGAACGTCTCCACTGGCGCTCCCATGTTGATGTCTTCCGGCAGGTAGCTCATGACCTTCTTGGCCAGCGGGACAGGGAACTACTCGGACACCTGGAGAACCAAAACTCTCTACGGCATTCGCCTCGTGCGTCTTCACTTGCATCTTCTGAGTCACATCTGGCTCATTCATGACACCAAGACCCTCAAAGAGAGGAATCGCATACTGCCCTCGTTCCGTCTCTCGAAGTTTCATCTGCACCCCGCACCGCCTAACAACTAAAACATCATTCTCCATATCCAAAGTAGCCTTCAAACCCCTAAGAAGTTCCTTGGACAGAAGCAGTGGAGTCCCTGATCCACTACCCGGTAAAACAGCCGCCTTTATAGCAAGCTGCTTTTCCCCAATACGCACTGGGATAATAGCTGACTTTTCAGTTCTGATCACCCCAGCATTGCCAAACTTGAACTCATGTTCTTCTTTGACAACTTGAACCTTCAAGCCAGCCCTGCCCAACGCCTCCGACATACGCCCAAGCACACTCTCACCGATTAGAGTACGCCTACACGCAGTATCGGGAACCCCATGAGTCGCAAGATCGGCCATGTATGCTTCCTCGGTCGCAGGCTGATCCTGCACTTTCTGAAAAAAATCAAAGATCTTAGCCTCAAGATCCCCCCTCACGTCATCATCTTCGCCTGCTCCATGTTCTCGTGGATCCGCCAAAACTACATCGACTCTACCGTCCTTCTCCGCCAAGTAGATCTCCAACTGGTCGATGTCCTCCTCGTTGAAGAAGAGCTCTTGTCCTAGCTCGGACAACCCTGAGTTGCCGCCTTGATCCGTGACCATAGCGTCATTGCTGCGGCTCGGCTTGGCACCACTTGAAGCACTTCCCTTCTTCTTTGGACACTCTCGCTTCCAGTGACCAAACTCCTGACATAGGTGACAGCGACTCTTAGCCTTCAACTGTTCCACCTTGCCACGCACAGTCCACGTCAGTGTCCATCTTGAAGGTGCCGTGCTTGGCTGCTGCTTGTATCCGCGTCCCATCTTCTTCTGCTGCATCTTCCTGCGGATATCCTGGTACGTCTCATAGACTTCGATGGCGTCCTCATCATCGTACTCGTCTTGTGCCTGAATCTGAGCAGCCACTGCTTGAAAGACGTCCTCGCCGTCCTCGCCATCGTTGCCAACCACAACCTCCTCTTCTGCTATTGCCTCAAAAACTTCGCGGCTCTTGCCGCCTCCAGTCTTCGAAACCCCTTGTGGGAAGATTGCGGTCACAGCTGCAGTCACCTCCTTGTAGGCCAAAGACCCTTTTGTATGAGTCAAAACCATCGCCTCTGATGTCTGATCCAGCTGCAGCTTGCGCAAAAGGAACCATCCCCCCACTTCCTCCGGGAGCTCCACGGCATGCTCCTTGAGCCTGGCATATGCAGTTTCCAGCCTGACTGTCAGATTGACTCCTGGGCCTTGATGTTTGTCCCAAATAAGTACTCCGTAAGATGCTTGTGCAAAGCATCTTTCTGCAGCTCTTGATACTTCGCGTCCAGTGCCTGAAAGACAAGCTCGTGCCCGCCTTCCTTGACGAGTTTATCCAGCGGCAGAGTTTCACATACTTCCTCTGCTTCTCCAGCCACATACTCCATCAACTTGGCACCCCAACGATCCTTGGTATATGTTGTGGGCAAAGCTAACAACATCAGCTGTGCCTTCCTCTTCCATCGCCTGTACATTGATGGAACCGTGCCGTCGAACCTTTCCAGCTTAGGTCGCTCATCGTCCTTCCCTGCACCGCTCATCGTCTTATCTGACGCCAAAGCAGAGACCGTGCGCTTCCAGGCAATCTGCTGTGCAAATCGCCTTCCAGCGCTCCGCTACCACCTGAGAACTCAAGGATCTCAGGCGGCTGCTCTTCTCACGCGTTTTCCATCAGCGAACTTCAGAGCTCACAGGTAACTACGGGGGACCTCGAGAGGTAGTGCCATCGGCCCACGTTAACTTGCGGTTGTGCATGTAGCTTTCCTGTACAAGCCCGGGATGCACACGAGAATTTCTCACTAAAGACATGAAAGCCCTAAAATCCTGAAAAGCCCTAAGCCCTATAAGCCCCATAATAAGCCCTATTCAACACCGCAAGGCGTAAAGCCCTAAAAGCCCTAAACCCTAGGCTTTTTCCAGGTCGGCCTGGTTCTCGGGGCGGGCGATTGTCGAAGCAACAGCGCTTCGCTTTCTTTCCTGTCGACAAGGCTCAAAGAACATATGGGGTTGACCTTCGGTTGGGCTACCCACCACAAAAAGGCGAATTTGGGAATGCTTGGGACCTGCGGTGAAGATCCCTAAGGCTCCATGTGCCCATATAGTATATACTTAGACTCGAAAGTACCTATATAGGAACCCCTTTAAGGCCTAAGTATATACTATATGGGTACGTGGAGCCTTTGGGGATATTCTCAGTATGTGCCGTGGGAAGTAACTGGAGGAGCCTCCGAGCAGCGTGCAGGGCGGGGCGTGCCCAAAGGGACAGCTTGGCACCGTTCGAAGGTCATACTTCATACGGGTAGTTGTCAAAATTATGGTCCCTTTTGGTGTACCCGAAATAATAGGTGTCGTATTATAATAAGGACCCAACAAGTGACCATAATTTTGACAACCAAACATATGAGATCGCTGGAGGACGCACCCTTGAAGCCCCTCTTCTACTGTACTTGCCAGCCGTTTGTCAAGGAAACTTGAATGCTTATGCATATTTGTGGCTCAAGACCTAAAACTGCGGTCTGGCACTGCTTTCAACTAGCCTAACTCACATCGTTTTGGAACACACACACACACACGCACACCTATCGTTCAGTAGGATGTATTGCGGAATGTACCCTCACAGAATGGCAACTTCAAACGACATGATGATGCGGCCGTTTGGCGGCGAGAGCGTGTCTGTGATTTTTATCTGCAGCATCATCGCCATCATGATCATCATCATCATCATCACCATCATCATCATCATCATCATCATCGCCATCATCATCATCATCAACATCATCATGCGTACTACTCGAAGAGCACAGGCCTTTCTCTTAGTCTAAACTTAAACTGACTTGTCCTCAGCCTTGCAGCAGCAAGTTCTGCGGCTAAAATCAAACCGAACCCACCATGGCCCACTTTGGACTGCATGTCTTTATCACAACACAGACCTGCGAATCACGAGTGAAAGAGCCAAGACATCTGTCGGCCAAGCCTGAGCCACACGGGCAGGGCCTTGCAAAGGCGGAGTGGGATGCCACTAAGTTCCAGCGTTCACGACCTACTATACAAGGATGTGCCTGACAGGGCCCTCGCGGTGAAACAGAGAAGCAGAGCTTTGAAAGGTTGGCAAACTAGCGAGTAGTCAGTGTAATGTAGACAAACTACATGCAACACCGCAACACCGTGGTCCAACAACCCTCACGTCCTGAGAAGGCTAACTGCTGAAAAGTGCCTGTCATGGCTGTGTCAGCAGTCGGAAATAATGTCACGGCAGAAATACATACGTAAGAAAGACATGTATACACTGACACACCTGCACAGACATCGTGATTGTTGCTGCTTGTGCTTCTCACCTCTCTTCTTTCCTTCCTTCCTTCCTTCCTTCCTTCCTTCCTTCCTTCCTTCCTTCCTTCCTTCCTTCCTTCAGCAGGGAAAGAGTCCGACTCATCTTTCTCCCGCCCTCTCTCTGCAGGTGCGCATTGTTCTTACGAGCCGCTCTTGCATCCTTACGGAATCTCCACAAACCACAGACACCGCCACACACACACAAAGCTGCTGAAGCACCCTTACTTCGGAAACTTAGCCGAATCTAAGAAGTATCTGAACTGGCTGCTGGCCTGAACCCCAAGCTCTCACTGGTAAACCTTCTAGGACTCTATATTTAAACGAGTAGGGAGGCGGAAGGTACCCCCTGACGAAACCCACCATGCGAAAACATCCGCAGCCAAACAAGGAGTGCTGTCATTGATGCAGCCTCTGGGGCAACATGAGGGAGTTTCTTAACTAAATAGCCTTAATCATTCATGAAGGTCGGTAAACTCTGTCTTGGTCCCGAGGGCACAGCCGATTTGCGTCCCTGCTCCGGATCAGAGGTTTCTCGTCCTCTACCCGGACGGTTGAGGTTTAGAGTCTAGGGTTTAGGGTTCAGGGGTCTTCCAGGCTTTTCCGGGTCAGGCCAAGTGGGACAGTACGAATCTTCGTCGAGGTGATGATGAACGGCATAAGTGACACTCCAGAGATGGCGTGCAGTAACAACGATGGCACAAATATGCAGCGGGACTAATAGCAGTGCCAACACACTACCAGCTGTTTTGCGTTTATGCAGAATGAATGAAAAGAAAGTGGTAGCAGCGCTAGATACTGGTTGAGAAGATCGGGAAGAAAAAGGGCGGACGTTGCAAAGGCAACCCTATAAGCTGCCACGACTGGCACCACCACCACCACCACCACCACCACCACCACCACCACCACCACCACCACCACCACACCACCACCACCACCAACAACAACACCAACGTACATGCATACCAGTGTGAAACACACGCTGTTACCTGTACAGGGCATAACCAACATGAACAGGACGTGAACAGCTTCTAGACGCTGCCCCAGCAAGCAACACTTTGATCTTCGATGAAATCCCTCCCCCTCGCAGTATCGCTAATCCGGGCGCAAACATCTTCAACAACTTCCGTTGCTCCTGAAAGGCCTACATTGCGGCTGTTAGTTGATCATGAGATTGCGGAAACCAAAGTCTTTATGCTCAGTCTCGATTCAAGCACCTCCTACATCCACAAACCGGAGCGACAAACTCTACACCAGCCATGTAGGGCTGTTGGTTTACGTGCCGTGAAAGAACGACAGGTTCGACGCATAAATACATCGACAGACAGGCACGAGACAGCCCTCTAGAACCAAGAAGGCGTGACTGCGGCCATTCGATCGGACCTAAGCAACCATCGCCTAGAATCCTGGCACTTTGCACCCCACTCCATTTACGACATGTGTAGTGGGGCAGTCGGCCTCCTCTTCATCTGCACCAGGAAGTTGGATGAGTCCTAATTAGATTGCAGGTCATCTCGACTGATTGCAACCCAAGGCTCTAGGCTTAAACATGCCAAGATCTGAACAGCAGGGCAAGCCCTAATGACAGAAAGCCTCCATGTCTGGCAGCCTCTCTGCAAGAAATCAAATAAATTCGGCATGCTCGTAGGCTTAAGGGAAGCTTAACATGTCAGGCACGGTGGCAAGGGGCTCTACACGAGTCGGCGCTATGCACCCGAGATCTCCAGAGCATCCTCCTGGAACCTAAAACTGCCTTCCCTAGATTCTGTTTTCTCACTGCTTCATGTCATCGCACAAGGACAGCATGTTGAAGACATCTTCCCATTGGTCTTGCAAAATTCCAGCTGAATTTGCTGAAGCCCTCCGGTCCTCCGTCTTCTGACTGACCTCAACTACGCTTTCTGCATCAGAACACCGGGCGGTTGACGAGGGCGACGGGATGAAGGCCTTATGTGGCCTATGCCGCAATTAGGGCTTCGGCTTTCTTCCGTGCAAGCGGCTAGCAGTTCGAGCTCAAGTGTGGAAAACCGGACACTCTCGAGAGTATGCGATACATCGCACATTCCCTTGGTTGATGAAGGGGCAGAGGAGCAGGCGAAAATTAGTTTCAACAAGTTAGTCACATCCAACTCATCACGAGTGCACGCGCCTAATCCGGAAATTCCGAGCCGAATCCTTTCACGCGTGCGGCAAGAACGCGCGGATCGATTGCCGGGTGCCCGTGCCATAGCCCGCGAGGTTCTGGTTGCCACCTTTTGGTTCGCTTTGTGAAGCTTGGTGGGTTCAAGGTCGATAGCACTTTTGCTGCCCAGATGGTACTCTGCTTATGTGAAGTTCAGACTTCCGAGTTGACACAATCCGGGTCCACAGATGTGCTCTACTTAACTTTCTACTTGACGGGTATCCCAGTTACGAGTAGAGGCTACGGATTAAAGTCTTTCGGATGGTTCGATGTTGTATGACAGTCGGAGACCTTCCTTTTTGAAGGATGAACAACTTAAAGACTTAAAGACACGAAACCTCCCCGTCGACCTACACATGATGCAACTAGGACTCCGGACACACAACCTTCACAACCTCGCAAGAGTACTGCTGCAATTTCCAGACAGACGTGGGCAAAAACATGACTGCTGGCAACGGTATGCGCTGGTCTTCCGGAGACACTTCCAAACTCGAGGGAAAACAAGACCCACGACGAAAGGGGCAGAGCATCGCTTCCTGGCCGTGGGCAATGGCATAGTCTCAGAGCCCCTAAATTCTGAAAGATAGGGAAGCCAGGGAGCCCATCTCTTCGTGCTCCATGGGACCAGCTACTGAGTGGCCGGCGATCTAAGATCTTGAGCATTCTAACGCCCGAACCCGAACACGCAAACCCCGAATCCCTGAAACCTCCGCACGGGGACCCTAAACCCTAAACCCTAAACCCTAAACTTACCGAGCTCTCGGCGCTGCTCGGCGTCTAGCTGCTCAGCGCGGAGCTCTCCCAGCAGGTGCCGCTGCCTGAGGCTAAGAAGCCCTAACCCCCCAGGTACCTACTATATAGGGCCCTAGGGGCTCTAGTACCCTATATAGTAGGTACCTGGGGGGTTAGGGAAGCTTTGCCCCAAGTCTTTGAGGCTACGGTTTGAGAGTTTGTGCTTAGGGCCTGCGTTGTTGGGTCTAGGAGTCCGGGGTTTAAGTTGTATGTTGAGGCATTTGCGGTATTTTACATGAACCG